CAGTGTTGTGCTGATATCTGCTGTACAGTAAGGTGACTCAGTTATACATTTAAAAAAAAAATTGTTGACTACTATTGGGTTGGTCAAAAAGTTTGTTCGGGTTTTTCCGTAAGATGTTACAAAAACCTAAACGAACTTTTTGGCCAACCCAACTACTATTAGAAGTTCAGGCAAAGGACTGGATATAGTCAAGGATCTCTTGCTTGAAGGTTTTGATTCAGATATCTGTTTCTACACAACAAACTTACTGTCTTTCTCATAATTCCGTGGGTTAACTGGGCTTAGATGGGTGGTTTTCTGCTGGTCTCACTGGGGGTCTCTCATATGGTTGTAGTCATATGGCAGCTGGGGCTGGAGTCATTTGGAGGCTTGACTGTAGTGGAATGTTCCAGATGACTTCTTCCCTACTGTATCTGGTGCTTTAGTGCTCCACCACATAGCATGTCTCTTTACAGAGCTCCTCATCCTCCAGGGCTCTCCATGTGGCCTATCTTTCATCAGGGTAGTCAGACTTCTCACAGGCAACTTGGCTTCTGAGAACACAGAAGCAGAAGATGCCAAGCCTTTTCTAATGGTTAGGCCAGAACTGGCACAGCCATCACTTCTGTCCGTTATATTATAGAAGTCACAATGCCACCCAGATTCAATGTGGAGGGAAGGAACTATACAGAAGGGCCTGACAACTGGGAAGCTGGCTCACTGGGTGTGGTCTTTGGTGCCAGCTGGCATAGTTGGCATGTGGAAATGAGTATGGAGAGTACGGCACATTCAAAATGAAGGACAGATAAGGTAGAAGAACCAATAACTGAAGTGAACAGAGAGTAAGAGAGATTCAAGCTGGGATGGGATGGGGCATAACTCCAGGCAGCTGGTTAGTAAAAGGAGATGTGTGAAGGCAGGGATCAGAGCAGCTGCAGGTTTTGGTCAGAGAACACCACGTCTAGGTCCTACAGTACTATAGGCAGAAAAACTCTTGGAGCAGACCAGAGCAGCAGTAACACAGGTAGCTTCTATTTGGCTTGTACTGGTTATAAGCACAACTCATTACCATAAGAAACAGCTACCATGTTTTAGAGCCTACTTTGGGCCAAGCATTGTTGCCTTACAATAACAACATGGCAAACTTCTTTATTTATACTTTAGAAACGGGAAAATGAAGAGGTTAAGTAACTTGCTCAAGGCCACATGGATAGGAAGCAGATGTGCTGGAAAATATACCAATGGCATTGGGCCCACTCTTTACAGATTCTGGTGGCATAAGGGAAGTTAAATGAAATTATTCTGTTTTGGATACAATTACACGTATTGATACTTGTGTGATTAATTCTGATTTTTTAAAACAAATTCATTGGACTCTATTTCAGATCTGGAGAATACGCATTCCGATATAGAATTTCTTGAGAACAATATTTTTATTTGATTCTTTTCCTGGGAAGCTTTCTGAATAACCTGGGTTAAGAATTTTTCAATTAAGAAGAGGAAAAGGGGGATGCTGGCCCAATGAAATATGCTCAGCTAGAATTTGAGTTCCTTCCAGGCAAGGACCATGCCTTGTTCATAACTGCTTCCTTGATAAAACCTAATATGATGCCTACTATATGTTGCTGTTCAGTAAGTGTTTGTGGAATAAATGAACCAATGGGATGCTGTTTCAAAATAGCCTCCCCTTGGAGGGTTTTGTCACAAGCAGCAGAATGATTCCACTAGGCTGAATTTACACAGCAGCACGGATCAGAAGAGAAGATGGTTACTTAAAGAACACGCTGGGACTTCCCTGGTGCCACAGTGGTTAAGAATCCACCTGCCAATGCAGGGGACATGGGTTCGAGCCCTGGTCCGGGAAGATCCCACATGCCGCAGAGCAACTAAGCCTGTGTGCCACAACTACTGAGCCCATGTGCCACAACTACTGCAGCCTGTGCACCTAGAGCCTGTGCTCTGCAACAAGAGAAGCCACCACAATGAGAAGCCCACGCACTGCAATGAAGAGTAGCCCCCGCTCGCAACAACTAGAGAGGGCCCTGTGCAGCAACAAAGACCCAATGCAGCCAAAAAATAAATAAATTTATGAAAAAATAAATAAATAAAGCACACACTGGGGCAACCACACAACTGCAACTCAAGAATTATTAATGGAATGTTCCCAAAATGGTTTTGTTTAGAGCTTCACAAAGCCTGGTGGAGTTGGTTCCAGTTGGCTTGGATGAGAGGTCACATAGATTAAAATAGATTTTCTTAATAAGAAACAATAGGCTACATTCATCTAGCAAAACAGAGGAAAAAAAAAAATGACAGGGCTTATGGGTGGGAATGAAGCTTAACCCTATTTAGAGGCTCAATTAACCCCCAGAAGATTGAGTGGGTCCTCTGCCTTCCTTGCCATTCCTCTGTCTAGCAGAGCTTAAAAATAGAGATTCATAAAGAGGAATAAAGAGATTCACATTTGTGTATAAAACACTAAAAATATTTTAAATATGGCATCACAAATTTTAGAAATAGAAGAAATTGATTGGACTTTCATGGTCCTTTAAAACTTTTTGAAATAAATCATATTCTCTTTTGAATTGGCAAATCTGTTACCAACTGAATAAAATATTCAAACATAACCCTTTATCTTGACATATAAATTCACTGATTAAAAAATCATTTCTTTCTTATATTTATATTGTCAAACAAAATTGTATTTCCTCTTAAAGTAATCAGTACATTCTCAAGAAATCTAAATTAAAATCCATTGTGGAGTAAATTTCCATCGTTCTAATATTTTAATACACAGAAGCCAGGTTCTGCAGAAATCAGCCCATCCTGGGTTAAACATCAGAGATGGGACATCCAGGGGCCTGGTTAGGTCATATATATCCATTGGGTGGATCCTACCTTTCACAGATCGTCTTGCAGAACCTCTGGGAAAGGAAGTTATCAACTTTTAAAATTTGTGCCCCAGCAGTATAGAAATGATCAAAAGAGATCATTAAATAGTGACAATTGATTTCATGTTTTTGTTTTTGTTGGGGAGGAAAATATCCAGGATTATGACAAAAAGTGGTGGCAGCATTATATTTATGCTCTCTGTTTAATTAGCTCTTTGTTTTAATAATATTATCTTTAAGAGAAGCTTGATAACTGAAATGCTTCTCCCTATCACATTGACACCATTTTAGTTGGCAGAGGGAGAAGTCTTTGCTTCTCCAGTCCCTCAAGCAATGGCATTTCCATCCCTCCTCACTCTTTCCCATTTTAGTTGGCAGAGGGAGAAGTCTTTGCTTCTCCAGTCCCTCAAGCAATGGCATTTCCATCCCTCCCCCCCCTTTCCCTCTAGCCAAGAATTCCTATCCTAATTTTCTCCTTGGGGTATGAAAAAATTTGCTGATTTTCTGGAATAAGATGACAACTTTGCTCTGTTACACACTTGTTTAAATTGCAGCCAATCTTGCGAATTACAGAGAATGTCACAACTCAAGACAAAGCACAACTTTGGCTAAGTTTCTTTTTCTTTGTGATGCAAATGCTCTCTTAACCATTTATGTCTTGTCCTAATGAGATAGCTGATACATCTATTATTGAAGGTATTAGAGCTCTGGAATGGTAATTTGAATTCGTTTAGTATATATTATTAATCCAAGTAATACCAATGCATAGATAAACTAAGCAGTTTTTCTCTTGAACTGACACGTGATGCCAGTTCAATATTTTCCTTCTATTCTGAAGGCTTACCTTTCAACGTATTAGAGAGAAGAGGCCAGACACAGCCTAAACAGAGGAGAACACTTTAGCTCATGGAAGAACACAAACTATGAAAACTTGTGTGTGAAAACTATCTGGCAGCAAAAATCAAATCACTGAACTTGACAGAGAACATTTCCCATATAACAATCCTATCAGACCAACTATAATGTGTTAGTGTAAAGTCACTTGAAGTCGTGACACCTTTTAGATGATACTCTAAACTTTTAAATTGGCTCAAAAGTTACACACGTCTAAGAGCTAAGTGATATGCTGCAAGTTTGGTAAAGCACCTTTAATCAGTTTTTTAAAAAGATGATTATTATTACACAGAAAACATAAGACAATATTGAGGAGGATCAAAAGATTTTTAAAAAGCACATAACTCCATCAATTCAGTGTAATTTTTCATATTTCTGTATTTTTCATTAGTCCTTATCCATTTCCCATAATACTGTTAAGTAGTTATAATCATAGCACAAAGCATAGAAAATATTATAATTTTTCTCTAGTACAACTATTCATATTACTTCACAATTATATTTTTGATGGTATGACATCAGCTTTAAACAAGTACATCTTTTTCCAGGACTACTAAATAAGCTACTAAGATTTTAAAAAATCTTGATAATTATAGCCTTCCTTCAGTATCCGCAGGGGATTGGTTCCAGGACTCCCTGATGGACACCAAGATCCACAGATGCTAAAGTCCCTTATATAAAATGGCCCAGTGCTTGCATAAAACCTACACACATCCTCCTGTATACTTTAAATTCATCTCTACATTACCTGTAATACCTAATACAAAGTAAATGCTATATAAATAGTTGCCTTTGTGGCAAATTCCAGTTTTGCTTTTTGGAACTTTCTGGAATTTTTTGTTTTTTCAAATATTTTCAACCCAGATTTGTTGAGTCTGTGGATGCAGAACCCATGGATACGAAGGGCCAACTGTATTAACAACAGATGTCCAAAGATCATTCCTCAGTACACTGAATGACATCTAATTATTTTCCTCAAGAAAAAAGTTGTGGTTGCAGTTACAGTTAATGCTACAAGAAGTACACACCTTATTCTAAGAAAATGTAATGCTATGCTAGAAAACCATATTTTTTCCTACATTTTGAGCAAAACTTATTTTTCAGGAATTCAACCATAACTTTTTCCCAGAGACTGACAAGATGTATACATTTTAGATATTTAATAAAATATCTATATGAAGATGGAATTTTATTCTAAAATAGGTAGGAGTGAAAACACAACCAATGTCAACTTACCAGCCTTTTCCTTCTCTGAAGTACCTGGAATAGCCTGAAAGAGAAAAAAAGCCACAAAATTGTGGTATTATTAGAAGGAAACAGCAAATAACTTTATTAGGAACAAAATGATGTCCCATAAATGAAGCAAAAATTAAATAGAACCTGACACTAGAAATATGAGAGAAGAGGAACTGAATAAACATTTTTTTTCCAAAGAAGGCATACAAATGGCACATGAAAAGGTGCTCAACATCACTAATCATCAGGAAAATGCAAATCAGAGCCACGAAGAGACATCACCGCATACCTGTAGAGTGGCTATCATCAAAAAGACAAGAGATGACTAGTATAGGCAAGGATGTAGAGAAAAGGGAACCCTTGTGCACTGTTAGTGGGGATGTAATTTGGTGCAGCCAGTATGGAAAACAGTATGGAGGTTTCTCAAAAAGCTAAAAATAGAACTACTCGGGACTTACTTGGTGGCACAGTGGTTAAGAATCCACCTGCCAATGCAGGGGACATGGGTTCGAGCCCTGGTCTAGGAAGATCCCACATGCCGCGGAGCAACTAAGCCTGTGCGCCACAACTACTGAGCCTGCACTCTAGAGCCCACGAGCCACAACTACTGAGCCCGTGCACCATAACTTCTGAAGCCCTCGTGACTAGAGCCCGTGCTCCACCACAAGAGAAGCCATTGCAATGAGAAGCCCACGCACAACAAAGAGTAGCTCCCACTCGCCGCAACTAGAGAAAGCTTACGTGCAGCAACAGACCCAAGGCAGCCAAAAATAAATAAATGAATTAATTAATTAGAAAATGAAAAGAGGATATCAAAGAGGTATCTGCACTCCCATATTCATTGCAACATTATTCACAATGGCCAAGATATGGTAACAGCCTCAGTGTCCATCAATGGATAAATGGGTAAAGAAGATGTGGGGTGTGTGTGTGTGTGTGTGGATGTGTGTGTGTGTGTGTGTGTGTGTGTGTGTATAACGGTATATTATTCAAAAATGAGTAAGAAGGAAATCGTACCATTTGCAATAACATGTACCTTGAAGGCATTATGCTAAGTGAAATGAGCCTGACAGAGAAAGACAAATACAACATGGTATTTTTAATATGTGGATTCTTTAAAAAAAAAAAAGTGCGCAACTGATAGTATGAGAGAGTAGAAAAGTGGTTGCCAGGGGCTGGTGGAGTAGGGGAATAGGGAAGGATTAGTAAAAGGGTATAAACTTTCAGCTGTATGATGAATAAGATCTGATGAACTAATGAAAGCATGGTGATTATAGTTGATAACATTGTACTATATAATTCATATTTGTTAAGAGAGAAGAACTTAAATATTCCCACCTCCCAAAAAAGTATATGAGGTGATGGATGTGTTAATTAACTAAAGGGGGAATCCTTTCACAATGTATACATATATCAAATCACTACAATGTACACTTTAAATATCTTACAATTTTATTTGACAACTACACCTCAATATAGCTGAAAAGAAAAAAAAAAGTTGTGGAGCTATTGGTAAAGTCACTAGAGCCAGTTATGCTAATGCTAAATCAGTCATGTAATTGTCTTCCTCTCTGAAGACTGACCCATCTTACCCTTAAAAGATACTGGCAATAAATGAGACTAAAAACACATGTGAATTGGGATTGTATTTTTGTATTTTGATTTCTTTGTCCTATTTTGGGAGGCAGAAAAAGTAAATTGTTTGGTTAGTGTCTGGGCTTTCAAGTCTCTGCTCTGTCCCCTCGAGGCTCAGATTCCTCCCTTATAAAAGGGGGATAAACCCCTCTACTTCACAGGGCTGCTGAAAGGACTAAACGTAGTAGCTTCTGTAAAGCACATGAAGTCCCTGGGAAAAGGGAGCTGCTCTTACTATTTGTTACTATGGGCACTGGGCCAATGGGCCAAATTACTGATATGAGAGGTTTAGAAGTTCAATTCCCAGTATCTATTATCTATCACTATTATTTAGAAAATAGAGTTCAGAATGAGAGGTCTTTAACAGACTTTAAAGTAGAATAGTATAGTTCTACTCCTTGTCAATACCCTAAAACAAACTAAGGAAGTGAGCTTTTGGTTGCCATTCACCTCAGTTACTCATGTATAAAATACAGTTAACATGAGTGTATTAACTGTATTGGTACTAACAGTATTAATATTAACAGTATTAACTGTTATTGGAAGCCTTTTATAAATCTATCTGGGCCACTGGGATTTGACACCTTCTACTCCACAGCCACTGACCACACAAGATGTCTACAAGCATGTCTCTCTCCCCTTATTTAGGGGACAAAGTCCTCAGAGTTGAAGTAAGAAAACTAGGCTCAAATGGGTAATTAATTTTGTTGCAAATGTGTGTGTGTGTGCACACGTGTGTGTGTGTGTGTGTGTGTGTGTGTGAGAGAGAGAGAGAGAGAGAGAGAGAGAGAAAGGAAGGAAGGCTCACGTGCACCTCTGTTGTAGATCAGCCTAAGGAAATGATAATATCAATCTTCATTTCTGGAAATATCAAAGATCAAGACACCTATACCTTTGTGAGATATTGCTTATTTTTGAGATCCTCACCTTTGGAATTTACAGGATTTGGAGATTGAAGTAATTTTTCAAATAAGGGAAAAATCTTTCTACAGATAAAAAAATAGAGGGTTTTTTTTTTTTTTTTTTGGCAAGATTGATCTATAGTGAAAGCATATTTTGACTTAATCTTGATCTACATTTAGTTGTTCACTTTTTGTTCTCTGGGTGTGAACACTGACTCTGTGTCCTGGCAAAGATGCAGCCATGAAGAGAATATTAGGTTATTAAATGGCAGAGTGGAGAACCACGTCCAGAGACCAGGGCATCAGAGGGACTGTATAGGCTGTAAGCAGCTTCCTCAGCATCCTTTCATTTATAGCAGGATCATCGGATTTTTCCTTTGTTTCAAGAACTTCTCTGATTCTATACTCCCTTGACAAGAAAGTCTTCCTACAGTTTTAGTGATGTTTGATTACTTTTTATATCTATATTTTGGGAAAGGTCTAAAAATGGAATTAAATCCATACTATATATTATATTTTAAGCCTAGCCCCTAGATTTGCCCCCTGACTGGAGATCAGGACTTTTAAATTAAATTTTCTCTTTTGTTTTAAGCAAATAAACAACAAAACAAAACAGAAACCCTTTCATTGACAAGACTGTAAAGGTTGGTGATAGGTAATTAAAGGACGTTCATGGAGAAAGTCCCTCAGTGTATGAAGAGCTAACACTTACTAGGTTCTCAGAATGTACAAGGTACAGTTTTAAGCTCTTACCTGCATAAACTCACTCAATCCTTAGACCAACTCTGTGAAGTCTTAAAAAATAGAGTAACTTTTGCAAGGTCACAGTAATGGAATGGAAGCCAGGACACAACAACTGGCATGCTGACCTCTGAGATCACTAACATTAATTTCAAAATACTAATCAGAATATTTTGAAATGAAGGAGGAGAAAGGTTTGGAGAGGTCTTATGAGCAGACATTGACTTAGATTACAAAATATTTGTGCAGGAGTATCTGTATGAGACATTTAGAAATTCTCTAAGTAAGCTCTCTCTTCTTATAGCTAAGGCATTTTAGGCAAATCGAATGTCTTACACCAAATCACAAGTTGACCAGTGACAGGCCTTTTCCATATTTTATTCTACTTGATTACAAAATGTGTAACCAAGCATGGATAAGTAAATATTTAATAAAGATGTTAATCAATGAGTTACCCTACAAACAAAAATATTTTAGCCTCCATATAGCCAAAGCCAATACGTCATGTAGACAATGCCAGTTACTTTAGAAGCTTACCCCATGTTCTGCATGAATCTTTAAGCTACCAAAGCTCACTTCCATTAAATAACTTCAATGGCCATATTATTATGTGGAGAAAGAAAAGTCAAAGTTTAATGTACCCAAGATTTAATAACTTCTCTTTTAAAGTAAAACCACATAGTAATAACAGCTGGATATCCCTCAGCTGATTTATCTTTGAATTTGAGGGAGAATTGTCTCTTTAGAAAATGGTTTATGAATACATTGATTAGATTTGTGAAATTCCACAGTGTTGAAAGGCATTAACTTAAAAAAAATGCTGACACTTGGTTTTCAATTAATTAAAGCTATTAGTTGATTCTTAATTAGATGCCTCACATTATTCTATGTACAAAAGCTGTAAGCAAAGTTTTCTTCTTTGTGGAATTCACAATCCAATTGAAGAAGATACATGAGAATAGTTCCATGCAGAGGTTGCTAAATGGCAGTGATTAGCACCCTCACTGGTGTGACATTAATAGGTATAGGAAGATAGTAGGTAATTAGGACTACCTGGGTGGAAATGGAATATGGTTTTCCTGGGCATTGAACCCATGTGGAGGAAGTGCTGGTGAGGAGATTTCTTTTTGTCTTTGACTTCTGAGAAGTGGCATGGCTAGATGTGGGATCATGTCCTGAGGTTTCATTGTCTAATATCTGTTCCTGGGTTTGGGGAAAAAACATTTCATGCAAGCTGCCTGTGTCATCTGGTACAGAGTAGGTGTTCATCAAACCTTTGTGGGATTAAAATGCCAAGTGTGTATTTGTATATATAGTTTAAATAACATGTATGACTTGCTTATGAGAAAGCTCCCATAAAAAGCATATTTTTGAATTCATTAGGGGTTTTTGTTAATAGCTGCCATATGTTTCATTTGAACTGTATCCTCAGGAAGTGATTTAACATTTCTGGCAATAAAGCAATTAAAGAGGATTTTCCTGCTGGCCATATGGGTTCGCTGTAACTTCATATTTTCTTCTCTCATTTCTCAATGGAACAAAGGGAAGTCTACTAATAACTTCCAAATGAGAGAAGAAAATTATTCATGGTCTTTTGTTATTTTTCTCTGTGATATTCAAATGGTAGGATAACAACTTCTCCTATGGCTGTACTGAGCCTCCTGTAGTTCTCCACATGCAAAGATTTTCATTTATGTTGATTTGTTAAGGTATTTTACGATTGAATTTTTAGAAAGCCATTAAAGAGAAACTTTTT